CACGGTAATTATTGTACGGATTTCTCTATTAAATGGAATTCAAGTTCTGGCCAAATAATTCCGGAGATGCCTATGCCTTTGTGCCTTTCTCGTGAGCGAGCCTGAAAGAAAAGTAAAAAGAACCTATACTTTTCTTAATCACAGTCCTACCTTTGTTTTAAATTTTAGTTTATGTAGCGGAACCGTGGAAGAAAATTTTCACATGCTATTTAACTAAGTAGATAACTATATTATACGTACATTAATTTTTAATTTTTTTAATCAAATATATAAATTTTAATTTTTTTTATTTGGATATGTTAATTTTTTCAAAACAGCCAATCAATTATTTGTGTCAATTTTTTTAATTGATGATTTTTTTTATCTTTAGCATATTAAATTATAATTTTATTATTTTTCAATAGAGTATACAAACTTTAATTTTTTAAAATTAAGTGTATTAGTTTTTTTCAAAATTATCAATTAGGTGCTTTGTTCAATTTTTTTGTTAATTGATGACGTGTTCGACTACAAAATTATAATTTTATTATTTTTTTATCGAAGAAAACTTTTTCTCCAAATTATTTTATCATTCTAAAATTTAACAAATAATTAAAAAATATTATTTTTATCTATAAAATTCATTCCAAACCAAACTCAGTTATGTTGCTATTAAAAAAAAAAACTCAATTAGATTTAAGAGTAAAAAAAAAAAAAAACACAAATGAATCCTCTTGATAAAAAACCTCATGTTTGTGTTTCTTTCAACTTTTACGTTCAAAACCTAACTGATTTTTTTTTAATAGCTAGTCTTACTAAGTTTAGTTCAATATTTTATAACTAAAAGTAACTCGTTTTTAATTCTTTGTCAAATTTTAAAACGATAGAATAATTTAAAGAGAAATTTTCTTATGACACAAAAGAGAAAAAAATGTAATCAATGAAGAAATTGACGAAGTACTTGATTGACGAGTTTTGAAAAAAATCAATATATTCAATCTAAAAAAATTAAAGTTCATGTATTCCATTGAAAAAAGGTAAAATCATAATTTGGTATTTTGAGGATAACAAATATTTCATCCGATATTGAAAAAATTGATAAAAATACTCGATTAGTAATATTTAAAAAATTAGTATACTCAAATGAAAAAAATTAAAAAAAAGATCGAAAGTTAATTTACCGATAGTATAATTGTTCCTTTAACCGAATAATAAGGCTTAAACAAAACAAAACAATTTTTTCCTCCATGATTATGAACATCTTTGTTTTTCTTTTTCCTTTTTTTTTTTTTTTTAAACTCTAGTGTGAAGCAAAGGTACCTCAAGATACCAACCCCGATTATCGGTTGAAAGAAAGCCTGACGACTTGGTGAGTAAAATTGCTTTATTCTTTGCAATATTGTTACTACAAGATAGGAATATCGTTATATTAATGTGTCTCGGGATCAAAATTAATTTTTCTTTCCATAAAAAATATATAAAAAGAAAACACCAAACCAAAATTTCGGCACATATAACGTCCTTCGTTTTATTTATTACAAGCACATTTGCTACTCATGCTTCCACACGGCAAGAGCAAGCAAAACCAATGTAACTTAATTAAATTGCTGGGATTCACCAAACGAGAAGGAGTGATTTCTGTTGTTAACCCGCTAATATCAGAGATTCGAAAACTATTTGCTAGAGATTGCATGGTGCTGTTTCGTCATGTTCTAAGAGAAGGAAACAGGTGCCGACGTTAGCTAACCTGGGACATGGTTTTTCTTAGGTCTTCTTGTTTTTTATAATACATTTGATATCATTCTTTCTTCATTGCATTTGAATTCAAATGGAGCGGCCCCACGTCATATGCGATGTATGTAATTTCATTTGTTTAGACCTTGAACTCGTTTATCATTAAAAAATAAACAGAAAAATAAACCAAAGCAAAGATAAAGTCTCGAGCCAACCTGCATCAAAACTTCAAAAAAAAAAAAAACAACAACAACAACAAACAAACATATGACTATACGAGGCATGATTTAAAATATATAAGCCCAAATGAGTCTAAGATCAATGATGCAGACACTAGTAGGCCGTCAATTGGCCAACTTAGCTTGGCCATAGCACATCAAGCCTAAAATCCAGTTCAAATAGCAAATTAATAGACATATAATAGAGTACATATTTTTCCTAGTTATAATAACAGAGCTTATTTTGATATATGTATGCATACAATGATGTTTTTATATATACAGGCTTGAATCTCTGCTTCCTAAGGAATACTGTAATTACAGAATAATATTCGCTTAGCCACTGGACAAAATAGATTGAGGACATTGTTGAATCTTCAATTCCAAAATCACCAAACTATATTGGGAATCCAATTTCCATTAAACTCCTAATTTTTAAGCGAACAGTAGGTGCTTAGGTGAAACATAGGAAGGGTGAAAAAAATAGCAAACCGATGTTTGAACACTTGAACCATTATTTTATTTTATATTATTATATTTTCAGATAATGAAATATTATGATATCAATTTTTACATCAATTGAAATTATATATAGCAACTCAGATTCAAATTCAAATTCACAACCAAACAGTTACTTTACGCACAGATTTTGTGGAACACTTATAGAACCTAAGTTAAACAATAGCATATATAGGCCTTTTTTATTAAAAAAAAAAAAAAAAACCCTACTGTTTAAAATTTTTAAATTTGACTGTTGTATCATTCCTCTGAAGACGCACCATTTTTCATATGATTTGAACTTACGACCACGCACAACATGCTAAAAGAACAGCGGCTCCACAATTCCATCTTTTATGTTCGAGTATTGTCAAATCATCAATAGGAAAAAAATGTCAAAGTTTATCATATAATGTAATATTACATTAAAATTGAATAAATGTCGAATAGTTGCTTCTTAAATATACAAATAAAAATGAAAAAATGAAAAGATAGATGATAAATTGATCATATATATATATATTGTTTAGCTGAAAAACAAACCCTTCTACTGTTCCTTTTCATTCTCTCTAAATCATCCTCAAGATAAACGGATCCTAACCAATCCTCTGCTTCCAAGTCTTGAGCAAGGCCAAATTCTGGAATTTAATTGAGTATTAGAAATTCGATCATTTGGGTCCAAATACAGAGGCTAAAATCCTTTCAATCATGTAATTAATCCAACCCCTTGATTTCTCTTAATTTTCTCGATTAATGAAAACGTTGTTCGGTTCTTGTTTTACAAAAGAAGGCAAGTTTTGAAGATGGAAGATAGATTCGAGACTTGCTCTTCATGATTTTTTTTAGTAGTTTAAAGTTCATGCAATGGATTCTTTGAATGGTGATTTGTTGGATTAATTCTCTGGTGGATGCAAAAATATTGGATTGATGGATAACAACATTCGAGGTTGATTAGAGGATTGGTTTCTCAATTTGGAAATTGAAAGAAAATATTTGGATTGATCCAAATACCATTATACCTTTGAAATACTTAGTTGAAATTACTGAGCACAAGACTGCAAAATCATAGAGAAAGCCAGAGGGATAAAACAAATGGAAAACAGTTTAAAAGAAAAAAAAATAGCAATCCATAGCTTGTTCGAATAATTTTCGTTCTAGATTGCTAAAATAAGAGATGAAGTAAAGAATGCTCCCATGGAACAAATGAACTCATGAACAAGTCAGAGGAACTTGGAGATGGTTTGGTTTGTTTTAGCAGAATGATTCCTTGAGGTTTCTCCCTAAAAATAAAATAGAAAGAAAATTTAAAAAAAAAATTCTTTTTTCATTTTCTTTTCTACCAAATTTGATTTTTTTTTATTTTGCATGATGAATTTGTCTAACGTATCATGTTATGTGATAATTTTTTTATTAGACGTCAATTGTAATTGAAAAATTAGCTGAAAAATCATGAAAATGCTGTATTTTTTAAAAAATATATAAAATAAAAAAAATAGAATGACCACGTTAAAAAAAAAAAATATGAAGAATAGAACGGCGTTTCTTTAAGATTTGAGTAGCTCTTGGACTTTGCACTACTAATTGTATGATTCGCCGTGGACGGAGGAGGTGCTTAGTTATCTTGTCCCATGTTCCCAAACTCCACCCTTCCCTTTCACTCTTACGTCACTTTTTGACATAACCTTACACGCTACCTCTGTGCCATTTTTTCTCTTTTCTCTTACCATGCTCAAGTAAATTTCTACTCTTCTTTTCTCCTTCACCGCATTAACTATCAACAAAAATAGGAAAAGAAACAGACAACAGTGCACGCCACGATCACAAACCCTAATTACAATTCCATGTCATCGACATGCCATTCAAAATTCAATTTGACCCCATATATATAATTGCATCTTAAAATTAAGTATCTTTTAATGAATACAAGCTATCTAATTTAGCTGATAAAGTGGTCATTTAGCATACTATTAAATAATAAAAAACTATATTTTATTAATTCAAAATCAAATCTCTCACTGATTGAACAACTCAGAAGAGATTGATTACTTAATTAAAGAAAAGGACGTGTTAGTTGCTCTTAAATTATATGCAGCTTGAGATTTAATTGATCTGTTAATGAACGAAAAATAAAAATACTAAAAAATTAGAAATAATTTCCTCACTGTCAGTCCCTTTTAAAACACGAAGAAAATACATTAAAAAGAATCCAGAACTGATTTATTTACCGGCAATAGCCAGTAAATGGTTAAGGGAAAAAGAAAGAGAAAATGGAAAGTATACTTGGCTTTCGAGTAAGACACCTCTTTTCTGCAGGCCGGGAAATTGATGGCCACACTCTACTTAACCTCTTATCTTCTCTTCTTAAGATCTAAAAAAAGAAAACAATTATATTATTATATTATTATTTTGATTTTTTATCTTTCATTCACATATTAATCCCATATAAATACAAGCTTTTATCACCGTTTTTTTCACTTGTTTATTATACTGGTGGATCTGCTCACAAAAATAACCGGCCATGTAGAAGATCTAAAGAAAGAAAAACTAAAAAAGATTAGAGTGTGAAAAAAAATGGAGTTTGACGAGCACGAAGACCAAGAAGAAGAAATGACGGGGATGGCGGTGATGCCACCGGGTTACGACTCAATTAGCAACTCAGCTGCTACTCGGTCAAAAATTGGTCCTACTAGTGGGGGAGGAGAAGGCGGTTCAACAACACCAGCAAACACAAACACAAGAAAATCTTCAATCAGATACAGAGAGTGTCAGAAAAATCATGCGGTGGGACTTGGTGGACACGCACTTGATGGTTGTGGTGAGTTCATGGCCGCAGGGGAAGAAGGTACTTTGGATGCACTTAAATGTGCTGCGTGTAATTGCCACCGTAATTTCCACCGCAAAGAGACTGATGGTGGGGGTGGAGGAGAATTAATATTATATCACGGCCATCACCACCAGCAACAACCACAATTCTCTCCTTATTATCGTGCTCCACCACCGGCTGGGTACCTTCATCACTTGACACCAACTCCACAGCCAAGGCCTCTAGCCTTGCCGGCTGCGTCTGGTGGGGGTGGTGCTGGTGGCGGTGGGTATAGTAGGGAAGAGGAGGATGTGTCTAATCCGAGCAGTAGCGGTGGTGGAGGAGGCGGTAGTAGTTCGAAGAAGAGGTTTAGGACAAAGTTTACGCAGGAGCAGAAAGAAAAGATGTTGGCTTTCGCGGAGAGGCTTGGTTGGAGAATCCAGAAACATGATGAGGCTGCTGTGGAGCAGTTTTGTGCGGAGAATGGTGTGAAGCGGCATGTGCTCAAGGTCTGGATGCATAATAACAAGCACACTCTTGGTAAGAAACCCTAAAAAATTTCAAGCAACATAAAAGACACAACATTTGTTATCATCATATATCATCTTGTTGTTCTTCCAGAAATTGGTGACTAGCTACTTATTGGTGCCATGGAGATATTGAGAAGTAGACATCACTAGTGCAATTTGGTAAGGGAATATTGGAAAGCTGAGATGTCAATTTAACTAGGGTTCTTAGCTAGTGGCGATTTTTTTTTTCGCTTTTGTTTAGTTTCTTCTCTCTCTTTAATCCTCTCTGTCAGTGTAGGATGAATGGTGATCACCATGACTGTTATTCTGAATACGTTGTTGATGATGGGCCATTGCTTAAATCATCACCATTTTCTAACTGTAGTTTCTCTTTAATTTTTAAGCTTATCAGAAACCTGGCTAGTTAGTTTAAATGGTTAGCTGTTTTCCTTGAATTTTAATTTTATACATCGGAAATATTATTGGACCCGGAAAAAGTTCAGCAAACACCCACAATGTCTTTGAATTCTATTTCAAGTCAGTTGTCAAATTCATGAGTCACATAGCCAAAGGCAAAACTGATGGGTTTGTAATTTAGTATCATGTGACGATGATGATTATCTAGGATCGAGAGAATTCCTAGTTGAATCAAAACGTGGTTAGCATGCAAAGCTGCAATTTTTTGTGTCTCTTCACAACTGTCAACTTCTCCTTCTTTCTCTCTAACTCACCGCTTAAGCTTTAATCAATTCTCTCTCATATTAATTTGCCTTTGCACTCTAGACACTTCGAGCCGATCATCATGAATAAAACTCAAAACTACCGAAAAAGGGCTGTGGACAACTGTGCTTACAAGAGAGGGGATCCCTAATAGAGAGGGTTGTTTGAATCGTATGTCATCGTCCTCGATCTCTACTCTAATGTTAGTACAAAAACTGTATTCACTTTCCTCATGTACCATCCTCAGACCTCGTCCTCTATTAATTGCCTTCTTACTTTCTCTCGCCTACACTATTTACAACTTCGATTTCTTTGTTTGTTTGTTTGGGTTTTTTTTTTTTTTTTTTTTAATTTTTAAATAATAATAAAACATGAGTAGTCATCTTTGACTTTTGTCTTGTGCCTTCTTTTAATTCTTTCATGCTTCTTCTGCTTCCTCCCCATTATTTTTCTTTTCTCATAAGTATACTTGGGTAAAAGCTATGTAACTATGGTTGGAAAGTGGTTGCTTATTAACATAGCAGTACTGTGGCACTGTCTTTTCCAGTTATATTTGCAGTTCAATTTGCAGACGTTGTGATTGCCATTAACTCATGCACATGGAAAGAAGTCCCAAAATACCTTTTAAAAGTAGGCTTTGATTTCTTTAATTTTAATCATAGACTTCACATTGATTTTTTCTCTTGCACAGTGGGATAACCTATGTACGATGTATAAGAATTTCTTAAACTGATCGATTACAGTTGACAAATTCCCAAGCTTACTTACATATTCATGAATATGCATAGTCTTTGTTTTTTTTTTTTAAAAAAAATAATATATATATTGAGGTCCCATGATTTTGGGTTATAATAATCAAATGATCATTTTCCCCATTAATTCCTCTCATCTCAATTTTAAACAAGAATTAATTTATGTTGGATAGCAAGGAATGATTTTTACTATATAAGTGCTTTGAGAATCGAGAGGTTTCTTGAAAGAAATGCAGTGCATAAAGAAGTCGAAAAATTGTGTAGGGCGTGAGAAGTGGAAAGTGGAAACTCGGGCATATTATACATATGGACAAGTAGATTGATGTTGGAGAAAGGCAAGTAATGAATGAATAGAGAGGCTAATAGGCATTTGAAGCTGTCGGAAAAATGATCTCAAGTTCGGTCTCATGTTATGTTGCTTGCTTTTTATTCTGTTCCGTTGAGGGACATGTGGGATCTGTCGTCCAAAAATGAGAACGGAACAATAATAAATGGGCACTGACATTACAGCTAAGGTACGTGTTATGTTTTGGTGGTGTCTCTAACTTCTAACCACAGGTGAAGACCAAAGCTCTTTTCATTGGATTGCAACATCTCTGAACCTCATTAAACTCATCTTCCGTCATCCAGATATATTATATATACTAACAGTAACAACTAACCACAACTCATTTTCTATCCAAAAGGGATTGATTATTTTACTAAGTTTGCACAATGGGCTTCAGCTATAATGCCTTTCCTAACTAGGAAACTTGATCAGGTAATTATGTAAGCATGTCATTATTTAGTATATATGAAAAATCATCACACCAATGGATAAAAAACAAAATTCGGTTTCCTTATTTTCAGGGTTTGATGAGCTGTTCTGCATGAACTCTTTCATTTCAATTAATCACCAAAGAAAAAAAAAAAAAAAGCTGATTATAGCACCTTTGGATCCTCTGAAAGAGAGAGGATGAGTGCAAGAGTGGATCGCCAAATGGATTAAACGTATGGTGAGCACTGCAGCTAAGGAATTTCTTAGCCTAAGTGCTTTTCGTCGTCATCATACTAAACGTTTTTCAGAAACAAAATGTGAATTATTTCCCTGTACTAGCTCCTAAGATTCTTAAGGACATTGGTGGATATGATTTTAATCCAGTACATTATGTATTGACAAAGCAAAATGCCAGAAACTTGTATGGATGTAGGGTATGGTTGGGAAAAGTAAAATCCCATTGTTGCAAGTCAGGGTTATTTTTGGATGCTAAGGACTAAAGACACATCGCAATCAGCTCTTTCTTTATACAGGCTGACAGGTTAAGATGCCTCCTCCGTGACCACCAACATCTCTTGTTCCATATATATATATAATAAAATTTCAATTTCGCTCTTCCCATTTCCTTTTAAGCTAAATGGTAAAATATCCTTCTAAACTTCAACATAAAATAAAACTAATACATTTTTTTAAAAAAAAAAGTATTGATTTTTGGAATAGTTACGAGTAGGGATGAGCATTATTTAATTAAAACCGACAAATCAAACCGAATTAGCAATTTCGGTTCGGTTTTTAAAAAATTTGAAAAAAAAACTGAAACCGAAAACTGAAATTATTTCGGTTCGGTTTGGTTTTTTTTTTTTTTCAAATTCAGTTCCCACCGAAACCGAATTAGTTTCTTTTTTTAACACATACCCAAGCTCTTTTAAAAATAATAATAATAAAAGAGACACCTATAAGTTTAACTAAAAGAACAATAGCTTTAATGATTTTTTTCTACTTAAAGTAAAAATATTTTTCATTAATTATTTATTGAAATAATAAAATAATTGATTATATTATATTGACTCAAACAAATAAAAAAAGACTAGAATAAAGTAATTTTTTATAAATACATAAATTTATGTGTGGGTAAATCCTAAAACCTTATGAAAAAAATTTGTCTCCTTGTATTAAAATTGGCACAAAAATATCCCCTAAAAAAATTGACCCGAAGCCGTTGCATTTATAATAGTATTATAGTAGTATTCATAACAACTAACAATAATAATTTTTCACACTTTTTTTCCTTATACTAAACATAAATTAAAATTTGGATTTTTCAGATTATCTATTTAACAATAAAATACGCACAAAACAAATAGATTAAAAAGAATATGAAAAATTAACAAAAAACCAATTATAGCGTGGTTGAAAAAATAATGAGAAGCCCAACCAATCTAGTTTATAATATAAATAGAAGCAAATTTATTATAGAAAAATAATAATAATCTTACACGATTTTCTTATAAAATCAAATGTGAAATATGCAATCTTTGATTATGCAAGTTTGATATTTTTTCAAAGAAATATATATATATATATATAAGTATTTCAGTTTTTAACCAAACCAAAAAATTTGGTTTTTTAACCGAAAAACCGAACCTTAATTCGGTTCAGTTTTGGTTTTTATTTTAGCCAATTCGATTAATGAAAAAAAAATCGAAACCGAACCAAAAAACCGAATGATCACCCCTAGTTATGAGAAAAACCTTCTAAAAAATTTTCTATCTAAAAAACCCACCAATTTATTTTTAAATCTTTCAAACTTAAAACAACATTTTTCAAATCAAAACACTTAATAATTAACACAAGTGCTAACTATCGTCAATTATTAGGTGTTTTGATAAGAATAATATTATTTTGAGTTTGAGATTTTAAAAAGTATTTTTTGTAAGAAAAATATTGTTTTGTGTTTAGAAGTTTTAAAAATAATTTTTTTGATTTTTTAAAAGATTTTTTTTGGTAATTATTTCTATCTTAAATGAAACCATTATCTTTCAATATATATATATTGTAGATGACCATATTCTATTTAATTAATTCACTAAAATATATTATACATTCATTATGCAATTTAATTTAATTGTTTGATAAAAAATATTGAGTTTTGATTAACTAAAAATCAGTAATATTGATGGTGTTTTTTTTTTTTAACAATTAATACATTTAGATTTAGGAGATCACTAATGTTCATAACCATACATATTCTTATTTTTTTTATTTGTACGATAATCCTTAAATTAAATTACAAGAGGATAACATGAGTTCTATTTTATTAATATTAATTAGTTGAATTGTGTCATTTGCTATAGTTACTAGATATAAAAATAATTTCGTTATTGATGAAACAAACGATGGATAGAGAAGAAAAAAATTCTACACGAGAGAATTTTTTAGTATAATAAGAAAATAGTAGCCGAAGGTTAGTGTGTCAATAGTCAAATAACCTCAATTTTTTTTTTTTAATTTTGATTGCCATAAACCTTCTAAGAAACATATTTATTTATTTTTAAAATCTCTCAAACTTAAAAAAAAACATCTTACGAAAACATCCAATAGTTAATTAGTGCTAAGTTAGAGGTTAACTACCGAGTGTTTTGGTGATAAAAATATTGTTTTGGATTTGAGAAGTTTAAAAATAAATTAATAGATATTTTAGAGGGTTTTTCTGATAATTATCCCTAAAATTTTCTATTCTAAATATTATGTATTTTTAATTTTACACATTCTCTCGGGTTCTGATGAGAAATTGATGAAAATTCCCCCCCCCCCCAACAAAAAAAAAAAAAAAAACCCTCTCAATTTCCCTCTCACGTCTCTGCAATTGAAAAATAAAAAATAAAAAATCGATCACCAAATTCTTATTTTCATAGATCCTCCACCTTTAAAGATTAACACATCCACACTGAAAGTCATCATCGCCAGCACCAAATGATCTCACCACCATTCCAAAGTCACAACAATAGCTTTAAGGTGTTTGGCAGCACCATCAACCCCTCTTTCTTTTATAATAAAAAACGATGATTTCTCTCTGCCGTGAGCTAAGCATTTTCTTCCATTATTACCAGCAATAGCAACACACAACAACTTAGAATTAGAGGGAAGAAGAGAGAAGAAGATGAGTTTTTTTTTTCCACTGTAGTTGCAAAGAAGAGAGGAATTAGAAGGTGTGTTATAGGCATTTTTGTCAATTTCTTATAAGAACCCTAGAAAAAGGACCAAAAAAATTATATTGTTTAGGATAGGGAAAAAATAATCATTCAAAAAGATAAACGTATTTTCGCTAGAGTTTAGGAGGATATTTTACAATCTAGCCATTTATTTACCTTATAAGTGACAAGAAAGAAGAAAGGGGAAATTAAAAGAACCTATTGATCTGTTGAGATGACTACTATTCAGATAGTTTTCATTAAAACTAATCAATCACAAGACCTTTTATATTCAGATGTACATTACTTGTTTCACTTTCATACGTTGGATGACGTAAGTGATGAGGTCCAATATTTGATAAAAGGCCAACCTCTAAAATCAAAATGGGGTGTTCAATATCATTGAATTGCAATTGTACACATGAATGAGTGTTCTTTGTATTTTTAATTAAGAAAAAGAAAACTAAGATAATCAATACAGAGTTCCTAATGATCATACTCATGCATTCTACATGTTACCTAGACATGCATGAACGGCTATATGTTCTCCCAAAAAAAAAAAAAACCAAGTGTTTCGGCACGACCCTAATTAATTTTATAGGCTCTGATTTTGGAATATAGGAAATTCAAAAATTAAAAAATTCTTGTACTTCAGTAGATGCGCATTTTGGCTGTTTTGTTATTTCGCATATAGTATTTCCGAGGGGCAGAAGGCCAAAAATTATTCCTTTTTTTTCCCCCTTATATAACCTTTTTAACTTGTATAAGTTGGTGATTATTGAATGTACTCAAATTGCTCTCTGATCTCTACACGACAACCTGCCCATCAGTTTCATTGGTCTTGTTTCCTTTCAAATATTCCGCTTCACTATTTTTATTTAAAGAGGTTTTCTTAAATTAATCTCGGAAATTTTTAAGCGGCTTTAGTTCCTGAAATCTTCTGCAATATGTACGAAACAACAACTCGAAATCGGCAAATCTACAAAAGCAGAAATGATGTTCAGTTAGGTTCAAACGATGGGCCATGCTATTGATGCATTTTAAGTCTTATCTGCCATTAATCGTGTTGTGTTTCCCTCTTTTCAGCTTGCCAGTTGGGACTCAGACAGGAAGCTGTCCTGACTCCTGACCAAATTTCAGGATGGGTTGTCTATCCAGGACCCTACATGGGATTCCGATACATATTTGGGCCTGCCCAAATCTTGAGCTTATCAGGTTATCGCATTACCATTTATCTGCCTGGTGGGGTTGGGCCTAACTATCCTCTATAATAGCACACCATGGGCAATTAAAGTGATAATTCAAGGAGTATGTACCCTTCTGTGTTGATCTTCGACAGTCTCCTCCTGTGTTGGCTTTTCTAGATACTAGAGATCGATAATTATCACAGGATGTGGTATGTACCCTTCTGCATTTTTATGAGTGAATTATAAATCAGTTTTTACCTTTTAGAATAATAAATTAATTAGACTCCTTTCTTTTAAAAACTAATTTTTAAAAGAATGACAGTAGAGCAGTAGAAATCGGTCAAATTATGGGATGCGCCAAAAAGTCTACAGTAGCAACTAAATTAATTATTTGCTGGAAGGATGAGGCCCGAAAAATTCCAAAGTGAAATCTTCCAGGGTCAAGAATGACAAATAGACCGAAGACATACGGATCCAAAAGATCCTACCCTTTGCTTTTTCTAAGAAGGGTGTCGTATCATGATTGGCAATACGATGGGGATGCTAAAGTTTGAGATATTCACTATAGCAAGGTGGCTACTGTTAGAAACCATTATTGGCTTGCTCTAGCTCCATTTAACTAAAGGACTTCACAGCCTTTGGAAGATAATACTCAGCAGGGCAGATTGCCCATCCTCCCAGAAGAAAACAAATATGGGATCAATGATCATTTATCATCAACTTTGAGCTGGAAAAACCGATGCGTTCCTCTCATTCCAACGCAAAATTTCCGCAGAAGGGCAGAAATGTTCTGTTCATAATGAACCTCAGGGCAGGAGGGAGACAATAAGGAAATAAAGGCTTGCAAGAAAACAAAGGTCATCCTCAAAAAGCAAGAAACGGAGGAATTATCTTTAGCTAAGACAAACAGTTGATTGATTATATGAAGAAAAAAAATGTATGAAATCACAATCCTCATCTCCAATAGATATAACTATTAATCTGACAACAAACAGCGTATCACAATTCAAAATAAAAATAACTGTTTCTATAACAAGAGGATATCACATCGATTTCACAAACAAATGCAACATGCAGGCATGTTTCCCATGGCATTCCAAATTCTGCGGCACTATAATGTTATCTACACCAACTTCCAGCATAATGTGCTTCTTGGGACATGATGGGAATTTTACACCTAAGTGCATCATAAGGTGTGGTGCAGCAATGCTCAGTGCGCATCATGAAGCATGGTGCTGCAGTACTGCTTGAAGGCTTTTAACAGCATTATCATAGTACACAAAGCCCATGAACCAAAATTCATGGTTGTCAACAGAGATAATCTGGATATACTTCTCAGCTGAATTGACTTTGCTTGTAGATGGATTTACAGCCTTCAGCTGATGTAATGGAATAACAACCTATGAACATACAGAGAAAAGAATGACATAAATAAGAAACTTGATGAGATCAGAACTAGATTTGATTCCAAGAGAAAAAGACAATTAACAAGGGCCAGACAAATGCATGCATGTTTGCCTACATAATTAGAGCAAAGAGCCAGTAAAATCCAATTCATTAGCTCCTATTTCACATTTATAAACTCCTCTGCTTTTAACTGGAGGAGAAACCGGTGACTCTAATACAATTCTTCAAATGAAAAGGCTGTGATGTAGATAGCATTCACTTGTTCTAATACAGTTCTTCAAATGAAAAGGCAGCGATGTAGATAGCATTCACTTGTTCAATACAGTTCTTCAAATGAAAAAGCAGCGATGTAGATAGCATTTGCTTTTTTTGTTAATTTCCTCAAGGTCGTCATGAAAATTTGTAATAGCATTGCGCGTGCACCCAAATCCCTTGGGTCCAAAGCAAAAGAGAAGGACTTAGTGCTGCAAGTTGTATGTTGCCAAGATTTATTTAAGAAATATTATTTTTCCTAAATAGAAGAGAAAGGGATTTTTCTTGCAGAAAAGCTATATTTTGGGAAATTACAATAACCTCCCAGAGGTATTATGAAATTACAATGACCATCCAAAATTTTGAAAATGTTACAAAAAGCCCCTTTTATGCCCAAAATAAACTTAATGTTTAGGAGAACGATTCAAAAATATTAAGGGTATTTTGGATACAAAAGGGGTTTTTGTCACATTCACTTAAAACTTGAAGGGGATTCGTAATATCTTCAAACTTTTGCATGGTCACTGTAATTTCATGATACCTCAGGAGGTTTTTGTAATTTATCCTTATTTTGTATGGCATAGATAACATATATAGACATGATGCACAAACATATACAATTATATGAAGGGCAAAACTTTGATAATGAAACATCAAGACTCTTCTAAAGTATTTGCTCCAATTTTTGATAGCTGTAGGTAGCCATGTCATAGTCAATTGCTATTGACTTATCAACAAATGTTGCAACAGAACAATATTTGGGAAAATAACTATGATCATCTGCATTAATCTTGGAGACAATGGAACATTATGCGAGTTGTCTGATGGGAAACTTGGCAAAGTATGACCATTAAGCAAACTGCTCAAGGTATCTTAGAACCTCAAAGTGGCATGGTACCTTGTATTGATCAGTAACAAACTGGATGCAAGGCATGGGTGGATAAGTCCTCAAAAATATCAACATATGGTTGCACCATTACCATACTACAGAGGAATCACACGCCAATGATAATGCATACAGACTACATGTTGGTCTATGAGAAATATTTGAATGACAAGGAGAAAATAATTTATATTATATGTTGATAACCACCTCTGCTAGATGAAACCATCCAGCATAGAGTGCGAATCGTCTTGGAGGATTTGTAAGCTTGTGACTAGTCAACAGTCAACCTATATTAAAATAAATCTAAATGCCATACCATCCACTAGAAGATTTGTTAATTTGAAGGGTCATACTTAGATGCATAAATTGTCAAAGGTTTTGTGCATATTCTTGTCACCTGAATCAAGGGTTTTATATTGTAAACTGGATCCTCAAACAGGCAATCTTACTCTTCCTAGCAAATAAACAATCTGTATATTAGACCACCTATGCTGGGTGAAACCATCCAGCATAGAGTGCGAATCAACTTGGAGCATTTGTAAGCTTGTGACTAGTCAACACTCAACCTACATTAAACTTAATCTAAGTGCCATACTATCCTCTAAAGATTTGGTAACTTTAAAAGTCCCACTTGGATGCATAAATTGTCAAAGGTTTCATACATATTCTTCTCACTTGAATCCAGGGTTTCATATGGTAAACCAGATTCTCAAATAGTCACCTTCTTACTCTTCTGAGCAAATAAAGCAAATCTGTATATTATACCAATACTATAACTCTTGCAGTTATTGGAGTTGCAAAATTCATGATGATAACCCAAACCGACGAAAAGAGTTTTCCCAATGCATAAAGGATAGTGAAAAATCCTTTCAAGATTGTCAGCCTGTCATGCATGGTTGGCTCCTATAGCCTGCATATCAAAACTAAGTTGCCAAGATAATGACAATCACAATGTGCATACCTTATAATAGCTCCATTGAGTTTCCTCACCAGCTTTGTAAGACAAAGGATCGTCACTGCAGAATGCAAGCTTTGCTGTTGACAAATACAAAACTCCCATAACTGGACCAGCTGAAGTAGATAGGTAGCATGCAAAAGTCTTCACAAGTTGCTCCTCAGGAACAGTTTCAAATGTTTGTCGAAAAATCTTCTCATAACCACCCTCTGTGAGAACTTTGGTTCCCTGAGCAATTCTTCCCACAGCAGCATCAGCAAAACTAGGGCCTGTCTTTACTGAACAAAAAGTATTTTTGTGTGAGAAAAGTTCATTGAGAAAATGCTAAGCATGAAACTTAGTCAATCAGTTTGATTTGAAAATCAGAATAACTATCAGAGCAGCAACTAAAATAAACTATTAAATCATTTCAAATTAGCAAATAACTCCCATTACAACTGCAGCAGCCAGAAACCGCAGATTCAGCTAAAAAAGAACAAAAAATCTGTTAGGCCTTCAACAAGGCAAAGAGTCAACGTATCAGAGGATCACACGATTCTCTGAATCACTATTCATTTTTAATAAGTGAATCCAGCAGCGAGCAATAACTTTTAACACAACACAAAACACCTTATAACACAAAGTGAAAAGGCACAAATCGCCCAATAGTAACTATTGTTTTTAGAATTGAAATCCAAAGTACAATCAAGTGTAGATATTTAAGCTGAAAGGTTTCAGAAAGATGCTTAAAGGCAACAATATTTGTAACCAAAACACATCTTTACAAAAACATCAAGTTGCACCAAAACATCAAGAGGCAATAGAACCACGTTAAACAGTCAAGAGAGAATGAAGGGGTGAAATATTTCACCTCGGACCACCACCAACATCAAAATAAAAAGGACAAGCATGGCCAAGTTGCAGAGACTGATTCTACAATAATCATGAAAGAAATGGAATGCATATTCACTATAAATTGTCAAAATTCACAATCCATTATATACAGAAGCAGGCCATACAGCATTGTTATCATATCAGTCTAGCTGAGGTAATAGTTGCCAAAATCGAATAGCATCTGCATTTACCAAAGCACAAACACAGAAAAAAAAAAAAAAAATCAAAAGGACGGAAAAGAAAGCATACAGTGTTGCCACATGTTGCCAGCAAGATCCTCAGCCTTTTTCGTTGCCTCTGCCGCCTTCTTTCCCCATTTCCCTAACACATCCTTCACCGCATCCATTTTATCTACTCAGAAAAATGAACCAAAACCCCAATTAATTATTTTTTTTCAAAGGAAAACCCTAATTAATTAAATTAAATAATCAGCGAAGCAAATTACTCTTGGAGGAAGAAGGAGCAACAGGGCCAGGAGACACGTAAGGATTGGACTCAGCCGGCATGGTTGTGGCAGCGATTCCGGCAATAGGAGATGGGCCTTCGGTTGGGCCTGGTGGGTTCGACTGTGTTGTTGATCCCACGGATACGTTGGACCAATTCTCAGGAGGAGGAGCGACGTCCTTAGGGTCTAGCTTTGGGTAGGGAGCGTAATCAGAGGTTTGAGGATTGATGTTCTTGCCCTTTACCTCGACGTGCTTTTCAGATTCTAAATCTGACGAAGATTGTGGTTTCTTGGTTTGATCGACCTCGTCTTGGCTTTGATTCATTTTTTCTTTTGTTTGGATCTGCTTACCAGAAGACAAAAATTTGGTACTAGAATGATTAGAAGCCAAAAAAAAAAAAAAAAGCAAGTGACCCAGCGAGTGGGAAAATCTAATTCAACGGTTAAATTTTAGATTCGGATAGAGTCATAAATGGAGTTCTAGAGTCTTCCTTCGATTTTGATCGTGATTTTTGCAGGTTGAAAGAGGTCTATGGGCCCGATGACTGGTAACTCGAAAGAAGTCCCGATATTGAATGGCCAGAACTTGGGCTCTGATCTGATCAAATCCAACAAGTTTTATGGAGAATCCTTACCTTCTAATATTCGGCTCGCTTTTCTGACTGCATAGTCGGCCCAGCATATTTCATGGACGCCCCTTTCAAGAAGCTGTTTTACTGGATTCTGTTTTCCAAAGGCCTGTTAGTGTTTTGTACGTTTGCCCGCGGGTGGGTGGGTAATGGGTTCCCAGTTCACAGTTCCCTTGTATCTGTCTAAGTCTAATTACCTAGGCTAGAATCAATTATTAGGTACTCTCGCTTCCTCACTCAAAGCTGGTCTTAAGCTTGGATGACGTTCCATTTTGGGTTCGTAAGCTTGGTGGATTTTGTTCTGAAAAGTGGTTTTGAAAGAGATGGGGTACTTGAAGTTTTATAGCTTATGAGAATTAGTCTAACGATGGGATTCCAGAATAAACAATAAGATTGAATCTCAAATGTAATCATCCATAAGATTATACATTTCCAAAAATTTAGAAGATTAAAAAAAAGTGGACTTTTTTCTCAAGGGTCTCAACTTATTGCACTGCACTTTTGAGCACGTAGAATGTGCAGTGGTTGGTTTATAGAATCCGAGTCCAAGTACGTAGAACCACGCATGGAAACAAACATAGAAAGGCCATGAGTCTACTATATGGAAATGAACCTTCCTTAAGTTGGAAGAAGGTGTAAAGTAAAGCTGGCAAAGTTTCAGATTCTGACCATCAGGGCTTGGATCGTGCATGTAACTATATATATGTATTATTACCCTAATACTTACAAACTCAGCATGATTTTACAGTCATATTAGCAGCAAGGAGATTGCACTTTTACATGATCTCTGTTTGTAGAATTTTAAAATTGATCTTTAGTAAGGTTTCTTACAGAAGTTTCCTCATTTTAGGAACTTTGACAGTAGCTTATTTTCCTCCCACTGTCTCAGGGTAGATATATATACAGCTTGTCTTTTACTTGATGTTGGCAAATCCCCAAAAAGGGATCCCTTAAAAAGAAAACGTTTTGCACCTTTCTTTTGAGTTAATGACGTTTTTTTTTAATCCAAATTTTTTCCTATTTGAATAATTTCGTTAACTCGATGTTGATGTGTCTATTGATTACACATATAGCATTGTTATGACAGCCTGAAAAAAAAAAGTAAATTAACCTAAAAAAAAGTGGCATATTCACATAATTTTTTATTCTCTTAACACTTCGGGAAAAAATAAAAGAAATCCCAAATATGCACACTCTAGTACGAAGTTCCAAAACTCTATTTTTGCCACCACTATGATGTTTTTTTTAATTATTATTAATTGAAACTAACCATCCAATCAATCTTTTTTGTGGATATGAATTGGTTTAAATGCGAGATTTCAATTCTTCCATACTTTTGGAATAGAAAAAACATATCTAAACCTTGTGTAGTGAAATTCGAACCGTGAACTTTCAAGAAAGTTCAAGTCTCTTACCACTACGTATTAAGATGCTTAGCCGAGTTCTTTCGTCCCGTCAGGTCACTTTCCACCTTGACGACATCGAAACTGACGCTTTTGCTGACTACAAACATAAACTCTCTGTATTGGCTGTTAATTATCTCTCTCGTTTGTCTCATTTTTGCATTTGTCCAACTGCTTGCCTTCTTCTCTGTCTCTTATTAGTTGTCGTTATGATCACTTCTCTCAATTTTCATTCGTGGAGTTTTGTTTGTGTCTTCTATCCGAGTTCTTGCTTCGAGTTCTTTGATCTCAGTGGGCTTGAGTCCGACTTTGGATGACTTGGTGTTTCCTGGGGTAAGTCTTTCTCCCTCGCTCTCGTTCCTTTTGACGTTGCTGAATTGTGTATATATATATTTAAAATTATTGTGAGTGTATGTAAATTTGGCTATCTAGGTTAGCGTTGAGTTTGGGTCTGGTTTTGTTAATTGGGTGGCAATTGAGAAGATATAGATCTTGAGTTTGATTGAGGAAAAAATGTAGAGAGGAGAGAGAGGCATTGATGTTTAGTATTTTTTTCGGATTTACTTTTTTTTTTCCGAGTTGCTACGTATAAAGTTGATAGATACGTTAATATGGTATAAAGTTAACAAAAACACGCAAATAAAAAAAAATTACAAATTAGTTTATTTAAATAAAAAAATTCAAATTCAAATTGAAAAAATTAACAAATTTATATAAAAAAAATTGTAACCAACTCCTTTTGTTTTATAAATTCTAGTAGATTTAGTGAAAACTAGTTAGATATCCGCGTTATGTTGTGATCATATAACTATTACATACGTAAAGTTAAGGATTTGTATGGTGGGATGAGAGTAAATTTTTTTTTTTTTAAATTAACGTAAATCGAATCTATATATTAAGCGAACTTGTTTGATTTATATATATTTATTAACAAGGTAATTTATAATATTAGTATAAAAATTTATATTTGAATAATTAAGATGTACTTTCAAAGCATTAATTAAACTATTTTATTTAAAAATATAAATTTTAAAACATAAAAAAATAAATAATAAATAATTGATGTTATGTATGTAGATATAATTAATTTCTAAGAAAAGGATAAAAATGTCCAACCATAAAAAAAATATCAAAAACCAAAAAAAAAAATTAATTTTAAAAAACTGAAAATGCAATGTAATATTTTTTTTAAAAAAAGATAAAAGCATTTTAAAAAACTAGAAAGTTTAAAACCCAATAAAAAATAAAACTAACTTTGAAAAAAACAAATAGAAATTATACCATAAGGGCCTTGTAAATATAAATGTGTTTAAGGCAATAAAATATTTTTTTTCCAAGATGCCGGTTTTTCAAAATTTTCCTTAATCTTCAATGTTCTTTTATATTTTTGTTAAGGGTTATTTAATTTTTTTGGATGTTCCAGTATTTTATTTTTCTAATTTTTTCAACTTTATTCGGTTTTTTTAATGTTTTGAAAATCATGTTGTTGCTGTTGTTGTGGTCTATAGGGGGCTTTTGTCCAAAATATAGAAACTGCATATGGAAAAACGCTTCCAACAGATCATAACAGATTGACACATTATTCCAATAAAAAATATTTTGGAGATTAAAACTTTTATATAATTTTTTTTTCTTTTTGTTTTGTTTTTGGCTCTACAATTGTCCTTAGGATACATGAGACCTTTTTTTTTTAAGCTCTTGGTGAGCATATCTAAGTTTGTGCAGGTTAGAATATTTTAACAATGGAGTAATGTGACATTATTAAATATAATCGTATTTGAGATAAAATTAAAAGAATTGTGATTTAATTGGTAATGGAGTTATGTGTTATTGGCTAAATTGAGGCCTGCCCCTTTTACTTCACATATTTAATTTATGTTTGCATTATGCTCAGAGTTTGTATAGCTTGTGTTATATTCAAGCAAGATATCCTTAAGGAGGAGATTTGATAGAGAGAAGTCATGGATTCCATTTATATATATATATATATATTTTTTTTTTTTTTTTTTTTTTTTTTTGGTCGTAAAAGTTGTAATGGACCATTCATATCATGGTCACAACATATGCCGACCTTGAACCTATCAGAGTAGACAAAACTCTTTAGTCTTTGCCATGTTGCTACCTTGCTCTGGATCAACAAAAAGAAATATACAACACAAGAGGTGGGAATCCTGTGCATTACTTGAATGCATAATTCAGTACAACAAAACAAAAGGAACGAGATCACAATAAGATATGGATGGTCCATCATTATAAGGTTGGCAGCATTTGAAAAGTTTTTGGTGAAGCAGAATTTTGTTGTGTGACAAGTTCATATAGTTCTTGAACTAAGATATCTAAGGAAGGACTTGGTCGAGGTTAATCTGCGAGTGAGGGCGTCCCCCGTTGGGACCTATAAATACGTTTTGAACACAATGCAGGAGTAAATTATAAATTAACTCCTCTAGTTTCGGGAAACGAATAAATCAGCTTTTTTTTTCTTTCAAAATTAATTATTAAATTAATTATATTTAATTTAATATTATCTTACTCAAAAAAATATTTTATTTTCTTGTCAATTTTATGTAATATCTAGTTGTCTTTTTTTTTTTAAAAAAAAGTAATTAATTGTTTTTTCAAAACTAAAAAGACTAATTTATAATTTACTCATAATGCTGGGATAAAAGAAAAAGATATATATATATATATATATATATATATATATATATATATATATATATATATATATATATATATATATATAGGTGTTGTTTGATAGCAATAAATGGAATGGTGGGAACCAGAATGAGAATTAAATAGAAATGAAAGTAAAGAATGAAAATAAAAATTAAATATAGTTTAATTTAAAATAATTATATATTATTTTTATTTATTGTATATCAATTACTTCTATCACCATACCATAGCAATAAAAAAAATTATATTTAATTTTTATTTTTATTTCATTCTTTATTTTAAAAAATTTTAAAAATATTATTATTATTATGCCATCACTTTTCCTCCACCATCATTATTGGTAGTGATGATAAAACAAATTTGAAAAAAAAATTATTATTATTATTCTGTCACCACTATTTTTCTATTATCACGGTTAATTTTATTGACAATGATACTATATATATATATATATATATATATATATATATATATATTTTCATTATTCTTTTTCCGCCGCTATCACCATTATTGTCATTTCACTGCCACTACAATCACTCTTCTTTCTCTACCACTTCCTAAAATAATAGTATTAATTTTTTTAAAAAACATATTATTATTATTATTATAATGTTATT